GCTCTGGCGTGGGCTGGTCCGTGAGGTCACGAAGAGTCGGAGACGACTGAACGAATGAACAACAACAACATGTCATTTCCAATTCAGAATCCTCCCAGACAGCTGTTCCCTGACACCATTCCTCTCATAATTTTCTTCCCATAAACTGTCCCTCAATACTCATGAAAGAGCAAATACTTGAGATCCACCTTGTTACTTTGTACACTAATTACAGGTATTATCAGACAAAACAAACTAGTCACTGGCTTCTAATTTCATCTCAAAATAAAGACATTACTAGATCCCCTTACCATGTCATTGGATGTCGCATTCCTCAAAAGCACCAGAAGGGAGTCTACCCTAACGGTGGCCCGAGAACATTTCCAAAAATATGTACTACTTTTAGAAGTGCTACAGATTTACTTAGAAAACCACCCTTATGTTCCTAGTGCACACCCATTTATTTCAGTTTAGTATTGTTGGGATTCTTTATGTACTCCTTGCAGCAATGTTTATTGAAAGACTTTGAATAACAGGCAAGTTATTTGTTGCAATGCCACAAAACATGTCTTCTGCAGCCACAGAAAAGCTGCGAACACCCACCAATCTTGACAGGGCCCACATACTGTCAGAAATATGTATGCTTTAAATTTGGGATTTTTTTGTAATAAAAAATAGAAGGTGTGTCAGAAATATTAAAAAATTAACTGGGTTTTACAAAGTGTGAGAAAGAGTCAGTGGGCCAAAGCTAGTGTTGTCCTGAGGAGAGCGAGTAGACCGAAGCCTGTTAGACATAACATTGGTCTGTGTGTTTTTGTTCTTTTTATCCCTTTTGCCTACTGGTGCTGGGTCACGCTGCTGCGAATAAGTTACTCTGCTGTCCATTTATGGGGAGGGTCTTTCATTAAATCATTTTATGTACATGCAGTCTGTAAAGATCCCTTACCTTGCCATCCAGGGTGGCAGGGCCCCAGGAGAAAGTCAGGCTAGGTAGTTTAGCTTGGAAGGCCTGGCAGAGTGCTGCTGGAGCCATTTTAGAGTAGGGAAAAGCTCCAGGGCAGAAGGGGGAGTGGCTGAGGCCTGTGCCAGCCCAGCAACAGCTAGGATTGGTTTAGAGAATAGGGGCGGAGTTAGGCAGAAGGAGGGAAAGAGAACAGTGAGATTTGACAGTTTTAGAGTTAGTTCAGCTGAGTTCTGAGAAGAGTAGAGAGCAGTTTGAGTTCTGAGAGAGAGATTAGTGTAGAAGTTGGATTGTTTAGGAGTCTCTGTTTAAAACAGGCAGTTTGCCTCTAGTCTGTACAGCACAGTAGGCTGGGACAGACTGAGATTACAGCTACTTTTGAGCAAAAATAGCTGGGTTCTGTGTTTATTGAAACTGTAACTAAGA